AGCAGGAAGCTTAGAGGTTGTGAAGTGATGAACAGAATGAAGGCTGTATGAAAAAACCAACACTGTGTTACAATCTGAGCAAGTAAGCCTGAAGGAAACATAGGTGTTGGTCACAGGATATCGCTTGATACTATAATGGCATCATTGACCTCTTACCATCTGCCAGCTTGTCTCGTTCTCAAACCAATAAAGCAAGCATTTTCGACAGCCAGAGGTAAGCAGAATTTTTCTAGGCAGTAAAACTGCTGAAATGCTGTGTCCAATTGGGGAAGAGGGTCACTGTTTTTTATGTTCAGGACTTTTCTAAAGCAATGGCTTTCACAAGACTTATGTTAAATTAGATTGATCCATGCCTAGGTTAAGGACTTAATTGTACAGAGTAACTCTGTCAGACAAGGAGGTGGAGAGATGCAAAGGGTGGGTGCGGGGGCAGGAGTAGGTGACTGTCGTTGCTGACTGTCAAGGGGGTGTGTGTCGAGAGAGAACATTTGCCTTTGAGTCACATACGCAGAGCAAAGGCGCTGCCTGCCAGTAAGCATGGCTGGCATCGTACTGAATTTGCTCTTCAGCCCACCTCCTGCTGTTGCCATTTCCTCACTCTGGGAGCCTCCTAATTACGAGGAAATAAGGACAGGTTTGATTTACTATCAAAATTGAAATGCTATTTGTAGGCCGTGCTAAGAAGCCAGCAGAAGTGCTTAGTAAAATGCTTTATCTGAGGGTGAGTTGATTTCTTTTGTTTGTTCTTTCTTTCTTTTCTTTCTTTCTTTGTGTTTCTTCCTTTCTTTCTGTTTTTCTTTCTGTTCTTTCTTTTTTATCTTTCTTTTTTTTTTTCTTTTTCTCTTTTCTCTCTTTTCTCTTTTTCTCTGTCTTTCTTTCCTCCAAAATCAGGTTAGAAGGGGTGATGGGTAAGACTGCATCATGTAAGGAAGGCTGGCCCTGTGATCAGTGCGCTTATCACAAAGTTTTGAGAAAGACCAGTTCAATTACCTGCTGTGCCAGAGGCAATTCTCTCGAGTTTGAAAAAAAAACCCCACTCAGAGGAACGACATGGATCAGATGACCTCTTTAGGTCTTCACAGCCCTTCTTCCCTGTTATTTCATGTCTATATGACCCAGTGGGACTCCGCTGTGAGCTCTCTGATCCTGCAGATGTGTCTGCACCGCACTATGTGCAGGAGTTGGCTTGGATCTCAAGATCTGAACTGCTGTTAGTCCAGTCGTTGAGTCTGAAAATTGAACTCTGCTGCTGAGTTGGGCAAATTTGCCTGCACCCAGGCCTGGGTGATACAGCTATGGTGCTGACTGATTTGTCTGTCTCTCTTGGTTGAGCCAGCCTGGGGTATCTGCAAATCATCCCTGCTGAAGTAGTGCAGATATGTCCATATAAAAAACACGTGGGCGGTAACACTGCAGGGAGCTGGGTGAGTGAGCAGTCTCCAGACTTACAAGACTCTTAAATACTCTTGATAAATTTCTAAATTCAGGATCTCCTGGACATGGAGATGTGGCTGTGTGGGTATGTATACTTACCCACTGTCTGCTGTTCTTGTCTGTGACCTCTGTTCCCAGGCATGTAAAAAAGCCTCTGGAATTGGTATTTCACATGGGAAGAGAGGATCAGGGACCCTGGCTGGGAATCACTTGAATGAATGGAGGTGAGGCAAGAAGGGATGGCTGCCGAGGGAGAGATAGGTGGGAGGTTTCTGCTGAGAGCTGGGGACCTCCTGGAGCTTGCAGCAGGAGAATAGTTCTTCATTTGCCTTTTCATTTAAAATAGCAAGTTGTCCTAGTTTTCTGTATCTGCTGGTACTTGGCAAGGAATAGCCGGGGGAATTCCCCTGTTGTCAGGTGTATATATACAGTTCTCTCTGCTGGACTCTGAGGGATTTAAAATTTTTCCTACCTGGAAAATATCAGAAGGGAAGTTGCCTTTGTGCCCTGTGCCTTTTTTGGTGGAGCGGGCCTGTCAACCTTTTAAAAAAAAAAAAAAAAGCCCTTTAAAAAAAAAAGAAAAAAAAGAAAAGAGGAGGGGGAGGTAAGGGGAAGAACTGCATATATTTCATGTACAAGGCATTGAAAGAACTGTGTGCATTTTGTGTACAAAGTATCTTCAACAGAAGTCGGCTATCATGACAGAATAAATTCTGTGACACTGCAAGGCAAAAATCGAGAGATGGAAAGCTGAATTAGAAGAATTTTAAGAAGTCAGTGTAAAGTACTCTGTTTTTATACATAGCTATGCAACTCCAATGACAGATAAACACTTTGAAAAAATGTTGTCTTTGTTATAGTCCATCAGCTAAAGTGAGAGCCCAAAATAAATGTATCAGGGAGGGACTATGTTGTGAGGAAAAGTCAGTCTTGCTGTTCCTGATATATTCAAGGTTAAAAAATAAGCAAATAAGCATAAAACAGCAAGCAAATAAGTTGACAAAATCTGTTCCAGCCAGTCTTTCCCTCCCCCCGCCTCCACCCCCCACCCTCTTGAGAAGTAGGGAAGGAATAAATTTAGCTTCCCTACAATTCTTGGCTGGAGAACTGTAACCTTTTGCACTCCAGGGAAAGAAGCACGCCGTTCTAGCTCACGTTGGCTGTTCAAGGCTCCCTTGGAGAGAAGTCCTCAGGATATTAAGGATTTGATGGGAAGAACTATTAGGTTTTGTGGAAGAAGAATGGTCTGTTCTTTACGGGCTTTCTGCTGCAAGGCAGGGCTGTGCTCTGTAACCGCACCCTGCTGGGTGTGTGCAATGTCCCTGCTGCAAGGAGAAGCGAAGCTCTTCTCTTGCCTTGAAGAAAAGAACTCCATACTAGGTGATTCTGGTTTAGAGATGGAGCAAGATAAAGTGTAAGACATCTTTTCCTTGGTTACTTTTGCATTATTTGTTTTTTGATGATGTTTCTTTAGCAACAGAGAACAAATAATAGGAAATAAATCTTCACAGAGGATGCAGGCAAGATTGGGTTTACTAGTACCAGCTGCCTTCTTGGAGTCATGTGCTTCAACCAGGACTTTCCTGAAATGCCTCCAACTCTCTGAAGTCCCATTTATACTATCTTACATATTTATGGATACATCAGTCTTTCCATGCTAGGGCAGAAGTTTCTTCTTGTTGTTGTTACTGGATATTGTGCTTAGATATATTACCAGGAGGGCAAATTTCCCCCTAGATGTCTGGTTGCGTTGACGCTAGTAAACTGGACAGTGGCAGAGAACATTTCTGAGGCCTTTGCTGTTCAATTGCTAGTGCTGTTCTTGGCATGGTGTCCACGCGTGCTGACTGTCACTCTCCCAGGCAGCTCCAGGGTATGGGTCAGGAGTCGGCATGGGCTAGGAAGCAACCCCAGTGAGCAGCGTGTGTGTGGCCACCCTATCCAAGAGGCCAAGAGCCGAGCATGTCTTGAAAACCATCCTGTGCTCATTGGGACAGAAAACAGTTCAGAGCATGTTTAATTTACT